TCTTTAGGGGAGGGTTAGGGTTTGGGTTATCCGGCCTCTCTAGGGGAAGGTTAGGGTTAGGGTTAGGGTTAGGATTATCCAGCCTCTCTAGGGGAGGGTTAGGGTTATGGTTAGGGTTATGGTTATCCAGCCTCTCTAGGGGAGGGTTAGGGCTCACCTGGCCTCTCTAGGGGAGGGTTAGGGTTAGGGTTATCCGGCCTCTCTAGGGGAGGGTTAGGGTTGCGATTATCCGGCCTCTCTAGGGCAGGGTTAGGGTTAGGGTTAGGGTTATCCGGCCTCTATAGGGGAGGGTTAGGGTTAGGGTTAGGGTTATCTGGCCTCTCGAGGGGAGGGTTAGGGTTAGGGTTATCTGGCCTCTCTAGGGAAGGGTTAGGGTTAGGGTTATCCGGCCTCTCTAGGGTTAAGGTTAGGGTTAGGGTTATCTGGCCTCTCTAGGGCAGGGTTAGGGTTAGGGTTTGGGTTATCCGGCCTCTCGAGGGGAGGGTTAGGGTTAGGGTTAGGGTTATCCGGCCTCTCTAGGGGAGGCTTTCTACAGGCTGCCCCAACTGTCTGTGGGCTACTTTTTCAGTATTAGACAGTATTCTGTTGATGGAGCACAGAGAACTTGAGTGTATTTGTGTTGTTTATGCAGATTTCTGACGGGTCTGAGCTGGTTTGCTTCACATGGCCCAGACCAGTGTTTTTCAACCTTTTTTGAGCCAAGGTACAGTTTTTCATTTAAAAAATCACGAGGCACACCACCAACCAAAAATGTCAAACAAATCTGTAGCCGCCTATAGTAACACTATAGTTATTCTTATTTTATTCTTATCTTATCTTAAGTGTCTTGAATAGGAATCAAATAAACACAAAAATGTATATTTTATCATATTTTATATTTCTTCTTTCAAATTGCACTTAACATGTCCACTTCAATATATAAAATTATATACAAAATCTAGTCATAAGGAATTATTACATGATTACTCCACCAGTCACTAGAACAGCACAGACACTCAAAAATGGAATATTATTTGCAGGTAATTAATTCCTTATCAAAACATTTTTTTAGACCAATTAGGTGAGATAGGATGATTTTCTACGGCACACCTGACCATCACTCACTAGCGTACCGAGGCACAGTGGTTGAAAAACACTGGTCCAGAGGTCCAGAGGTCCAGGTCGGAGCTCAGGGTCGGGTTCACTGCCCACAAACTGGAATCCAAGGGAACGTTGCCTTGGATTCCAGTTTGCATTTCTTTAGGATCAGTTTTGAGTTGGCTCTCACAGCCTGTTTCTCGAGTCTGCATGCAGCCAGTCGGGACTCAGCCATCAGTCTGGCCTTTCTGTCAGACGTTTCCTGGGGTTTCCGGGGTTCTCCAGGTGTTTCTGGAGGTCTCCACGGGTCTCCTGGGGGTTTCCAGGGGTCTCCAGTGGTCTCCAGGAGTCTCTAAGGGTCTGCAAGGTTGTGCAGGGGTCTCCAGGGGTCTCAGGGGTCTCTAAGGGTCTGCAGGGGTCTCCAGAGGTTTCTAGGGATTTCCAGGGGTTTCTGGGGGTCTCCAGGGGTTTCCGGGATCTCCAGGGGTTTCTGGGGGTCTCCAGGGGTCTCCAGGGGTCTGCAGAGGTCTCCAGGGGTTTCCAGGTGTTTCTTGGGCTCTCATGGGGTCTCCAGGGGTATCCAGGGGTCTCATGGGGTCTCCAGGGGTCACCAGGGGTCTTCAGGGGTTTCTGGGGG